AGGGTATAAAAAAAAACAAGTTAAAGTCTATAAAAAACTATGTTGGTTCAAGACATAGGATGTTACATATGGACCTTCCTATCTCGCCGAGCTAAATCGATCTAGGTATGTACATCCGTCTGTCCATGTAATTACGCTACAGGTCACAATTATGGTCGGATCCTCACGAAATTTTGCATGGAGGTGGTGTTAAGGTCAGAATAGAAGCCTATTCTTGAGGACGCAAACTATTTAGTGGTTGAAATGGACCAAAAACAGAAAAAATCTTGATTTTGCAGCTGCTCTAGAAGTCGGAATTATAGACCAATCGAATTTAGCATGCGGCTAGAGTTTAATCATAACTTTTATGTAAAAAAATGCGAAAATGTGCATTAACCTCGGAATTTTTTTAATTTAAGCGAAATCAGATATACACGAATAGGTCACTTCGGAGCGTTACATTGAAGTTGATATCCGAGATATCGCATGTACAACAAAATATATACAATCTCATATATCAAAGAAGGGGATGTTGGTTAGAACGTTTATAACTCAGGAACAGCTGGAAGGATTTTGAGGGTAATATATAATGTAATATTTTTTTATCTCATGAGATTTTTTCAATTTTATTTACAATATTGAATTGTACATTTTGAAAAATATTTTCACCCTAGGGTTTAAAATGGACCAAAAACCAAAAAATTGTCTAGATTTTGCAGTCGTCCTTCGGTTTTAAGCCTAGACCCAAAATACTGAACTTTTTTATGAGGTTTGAGTTTACATCAGCGCTGGAACCTAACATATGGAATGGTCATGGGATAATATTTAGCTAGTGAAATAGACCACAATTTTGTGTGAAAAAATACCAAAATTGATTACCTTTACGTTGATATTTGTCGGTAACTCAAAAAATGAGTTAGGGAATCCCACTACTGGGGTCTACAACCGTTATTTCTATAAGGGACGTTTTTTATATATGGCAATGCTATTTGTTTTAGGGCAGGCCTGTTAATATAATATCTAGAAGCTAGATGGCTCTATAACAATGGGTAAATTAATATTTCAAATATAGATGTCGGCACACAGCCCTTTTTTGAAATTTATGTTAATTGTATCGCCTCGCAGATTGAGACACCCTTGACTAACTCTGACGCAGTTAACCATATAACTCACGACCTGTGGATAGAATGGTCAAATGAGTATAAAGAAAGAGAATTGACCGGCTCCTCTCATTACTTCACAATCTTCCCTGAAGTCAGCAAACGACCATGGTTTCACAACACCACATCTACCCCTTTGGATACAAAAACACTCAACAGAGTTGTCACAAACCACGCCTTTTGCAATGCCACTTGTGAAACTTGTCGCACTGAGGAAAATGTCGACCATATCCTATTTCAGTGTCATCGCTTTTCGTCAGAAAGAAATTCTAATCATTATATGCGGAGCTCAAGATCCACTGTGGATTTCATCAACAAACATGGGATTAAAAAACTTCCTGCCATTACTGAATTTTTGCACAATCTCAAATTTAACTTGTAAACATCTGCTCTAAACATTAACGACTTAGCGGAACCCTCCCGATTGCTTGTTTTGGCGTTATCTGGAAATTGGCCAAGTTTCAACTCTAAAACCAAAAAAAATAATTCTATCGCCAACAACAGGTTTGTCAGGTTACTTTTCTGCAGGAATTATTCCTGCCAAGCTGCATATGTACGCACCCACACCATGAGCTAGTTTTATTATACCCTACAACACTATGTGTTGGGGGTATTATAAGTTTGATTGGGCCAAAAATTATGTAACACCACGAAATATTGGTTTCCCACATAGGAAAGTATATATGGATCTTCCTATCTCGCCGAGCTGAGTCGATCTAGCTATGTATATCCGTATGTTTTAGTCCCGGCGAAATCACAAATAGACGAACAGGCCAATTCTGACCGTTACGTAGATGCCGATAGTAAATATATCGGTGTGTATATATACAAAGGAAGGGGATGTTAGTTAAAATGCTTATATCTCAAGAATCGGTCCAGATTTTGACAAATTTTGTCAATTCAGAATGTCATCTTGGCATAAAAGAATAAAATCTAAAAATATCGCAGAAAAATTTGCCAATAATGATGTTAATATAGATTTTGTGACATTTTTTTATGTTTTCATATTTTTATCGCATGCGATTTTTTCAATTTGACTTTTAATATTTTGTAATATTTTTTCACCTTACAACACATGTTGGGGATATTATATAAGTATTGCAAATATCGTCCGACCCTCACGAAAATCTTCGCAAAGGTAGGGTTGGGCTCAGAAGGACAAGGCCTACTGTTTTCAAAGATGCCCGCAATATATTAGGGGGTTGAAATGGACCAACAACTAAAAATTTTCCTGATTTTGCAGCCGTTATAAAGGTCACAAATAGAAACCAAAGGACACGAAATCTCGCATAAAGTTAGAGTTTAGGACAGCGGGTACAATGGACCACTAATTTTGTGTGAAAAAATACCAGCATTACTTATAGGCGATATCCGAAATACACAAAAGGCGAACTTTTGGCTTTTTATGCTGATTTCGTTGACGAATATAGCGAAATATCGTAGACAAGCAAATCATATAGATAAGTCTACATTTGGAGATACAGAGGGGCTTCTTGCTTTTGGAGATAATTGCCAAATATTCAGGGGTTCAAATTAACCAAAAACAGAAATGTTTTTCCGATCACACAATTGAAGCCAATCGAAGAGAGTTAAGGACAGGGAAGAATTCTAGCATTTTAAATGACCATTGGATTATATTCAGCTGTAAAATGGACTACAACAACTAACAGCCCGACGGAGTGCATAAATGTTGGGCAAATGTCCCTAGTCAAAATTCCAATTTTAAAAGCGAAATCTTCCAATATGGATTTGGACATAAGGGAGATTCTAACATATTATAGTGTTGTAGGTATTCTAACATATTGTAGTGTTGTAGGGTCGGCCCCGCACGACTATAGCCTTTGCTTACTTGTTTTTTATTTATTTATTTATTTTATTTTTTTTTTTTTTAAAAAAACTTTAAGAAGTATACAGATATAAAAATAAACTTTACGTTTGCAATTGTTTCGAGCTGTATTTTCTCAAAGTACAAAACAAAACCAATATTAAGAGAAAGGCATTTGTTATACCCTCCACCATAAATACGGTCCACGCTTTCGTATAGCCCCCATATAACGGTACATCCCGATATTCGGTATTATGATGATTTCAGCAACATTATTCACCGGAATCGTTGTACATTTCGTATTGGAAGATCTTAATGGGTACTACAGCCTATGGCAAACATTTTTGTATGCAGGTCCACGTCTTCATATAGTCTCCATATAAAGGTATTCATTGAATTGGTAGTTTTCGGTTTTTTTTTAGCTGCTTTTTTCCTTTTTTTTGTTTTGTTTGAGCAAATAAAATAATGTTAAAGGTGCGGATACATAGCAGCTTGGCATTATGGCTAGGCATATTAATGTCAAATTAAAAGGGGAAAAGCACGGCAGGATTCGAATACTTTAAGATGATTGTGTACCCAAACCTTGAGTTTGTCTAAGTCAAATTTTTTACTTCTTATAACCTCCACTATATTCAAAACTTCATTAGTGGCCGAATTGGCTATCCTTATAGTCACTAACGTTTGGAAGTTCCGTTATATGGGAGCAATACTTATATTGAACATTTTTTGGGAGAAGTTAATCTACTGAGACGCTAAAATGTCATTTTACTCAAAGCCACGCAAATCGTGTGGTACTTTTATATACCAACAAGTAAAAAAGCTTTAAGTTCGGTCGGGCCGAACTTTGGTACAAATTTGGCAATTTTCAAAAAAAATAAAATCCATTAAAAATTCTGTTAAAATCTTAAAAATACCAAATGTAGCCGCATATTAGGGTCTATACGACGACGTGCGCCTGCATAGGCAACTTTTGTCATAAGCTATTACAATATTCAAATGCGAAACTTGAAAAAAAATCTGTTTATAATGTAGCTAAAATCATAGGGAGGTACCATGGGGATTATAAAACGTGGACCTGCACAGACAATTTTATGACATGGGCTGTAGTATCCATTACGAACTTCAAATGCGAAATTTGAAACAATTCCGGTAAATAATGACGCTAAAATCATGAAAATACCAAATATCGGGAGGTACTGTTATTATGGGGCTTTATGTAGACGTAGACTTGCACGGAGAATTTTCTGTCATAGACTGTAATATCCATTACGAACTTTAAATACCAAATTTGAAACAATTCCGGTGAATAATGCCACTAAAATCATTAAAATACCGAATATCAGGAGGTGCCATTATATGGGGGCTATACGAAAACGTAGACCTGCATACGTAATTTCTTATCATAGGCTGTAGTCTCTATTACGAACTTCAAAAGAGAAATTAAATTTAATTAATTATTAAATTATTAATCATTAAATTAAATTAAATCGCCGATATATCGTAAAAATGGAGGCACAATTATTTGGGGGCTATACCGAGCCGTGGACCTACATGACCCATTTTCAATACCAAAAGTTCTGCGCACATAATGCACATTAGAGTAAAATTTTATCAACGTACATCATTTCGTTCGGAAGCTAGAGTGATTTCCTCCGACGGATATGCCGAAAACTTTTATAACTTTCTGAAACTTAGGGAAATTACAGTTGAAAGGGTCCAATGTACAGAAACTAAAAATGGGGCGGATTTGAGAGCGGACATCAAAAGAAAGATCTCAGGGAATACATAACAAATATTCGGAACTTACAGGCAAAACTAATTTCGGAGTTAACGATTTTCTACATTTCAGAGCTTAATTAAATTTCATAAATTCACAAAGTATTCCCTATTGTGTGATTCACTGGATAATTGTATACTCTTTTTAACATAAATGTCAGCATCAGGAAAATGATAAATTGGAAAATACAAGTGAATATCCCTTTGTGTTTATCCCTTACTCTTCCTCGATGTTCATTGAACCAGAAGAAAAATCTATATTTAAAACAAATGGTCCATTTTTCATTTATTAAAAAAATAAAAAGAAACTGATGATTCTATAATGTACACTGCATAGGCGCGAATACAATACATGCAATTTAAACGTATTATGCGTAATCGAACTACATCTAGCAATTATTACAAGAGACACAATTTCGGTCTCACAAAACATCAGCTTGGAAGAATATAAATGGAATATTATGTACTACTCCAAGTGAGACGACTACTATCAGCGAAAAATGCACACATCGAATTACACACATATTTTTGAACCTTTCCACTGTGGGAACGGCTACCCTCCCCAAGCCCCATATTAACTTTAGCGTTTAACTGGCAGTCATGCGAGCTAATTCCTCCCGCAATTCGGCAGCATCGATGGGACCCTTGGGTTGTGCTTGTGTGTTTACGTTTGTGGTCGATGTGGGCCGATTACAGGTTTTCTTGTGCATAAACCAGTGTAAGCGTTGGCACTCTCGATCGCAATATTGCACCGCTTTGCATTTGGAACATTTCTTGTCTGGTTTCTCATTACCACAGGAACTGCAATAGGAAATGTCGTCAACAAATCCGCGTTGACCATTAATCGCCGTACGCAGTATTGTCAAAGCGGGGGCAGCATCCTTTGCCGGCAGTTGGGCAACTATCTGGCGGAAAATTGTACATTCCCGGAAGGGGAACTCTCGCACACAATCACGTATTGTGAATTCTACATAATCCAGTTGCCCCAGTTTATTCTCCTTTAGAACGCGTTTTATGAAAATCTCAACAAAATCATGCTTGTTCGGTTCATCGGCAGTTGTTGCTGGTTTATCTTTGCGCTGGGCCTTGCATTGCTCTTCACAGCGCAACAGCTCCGAAACAATCCAACGCAAATAGTGATATTTAAATGCCATTAGTTCATTTACATCGCAAGACTTCTTCATTTCCTTCTCACACATCAATTCCAGAGCTTTCTTCAAACCATTCAAATGTTTTAACAAGCCAAAATTTTGAAGATTTAACACAATACGGACAGGATGAAGATTTGTTTCGGTAACAAATTTGTGGAAGTCATCAAGTGCAGATGGTGGCAAATAGGCTTCTTTCTGCAGCCCTTGGGGTTTTGTATAATACTCTAGCAGTGATTTGGGCACATAGTTATTTATCGTCTCAACACAGGCATGATTACCAACAAAGGCGGCCATCTGGGAAGCAGTACGATTCACACTATTCAGGGTATTGGGATTGATGCCAGCATCAAGTAGCATTGAACAAATTTCTGTGTTTCCGGATAGAGCTGCAAAATGCAAGGGCGTGTAGTTGGCTCCATGTTGACTGTAATCCACATCGGCACCCTAGAAAAATGAACCATTTGTTAATAACAAAAAATGGAAAACATTGCCCCGTCTAGAGAAGCACGTGGCTCAGATGTAAATAAAAAGGCAGTCTTCAAGACCGCGCTGTCATTTATCAAAAACTCAATGAAAGACCTACCATATCCAACAGAATTTGAACTGCCTCCTTGTTACCCTTACAACAGGCATGTTGTAGCGGTGTCATACCATTTTCATCGATAAAGTTAACTCCTCCTTTAACTTGGGCTATCAGCTGCTTGAAACCATCCTTATCATTCTTGGAGATTTTCTCAAATACTTGTTTCTGTATATCGTCCAATTGAATTTTATTATTCTCTGCCATGGCTAAATTTGTAATTGATTTACAATTTACTGCAGTTATTAGATATTTTTCGCAAAAACTCCTCACAAATCCTTTTACACCACACAAAAAAAAACTACTAAAATTGTTAGGGATAGCAAAGTGAAAATCGATAACATGTGCCCACTCAACGATAACACCTTGAACACAATGTTGCCAAATCTAATTGAGAGTTACGCTTACGCCATGTTCTCACCAGCATTACAACAATGTTTTTCAGACCATACTACTAGAATAAAGAGAATAACAATGTGCCAGAGAATTCTCGAGCGGATTATGAAAGTGGAGCGAAAAATATGAGACACATGTATCGACCCCTTGAAAGTTTACATTGGAAGGAAACCAAAAATAGGTTTCCATTTTGTATATAATTTACTTAGATTCCCTATATTAATGACATTTTAAGCAAAGTATGTCTGGTCATTAAATATTTCCGGACATTTCCAGCCTGTTCCACGATATCGAAAGAACACGTTCGCACAACTTTTACACGACAAACAGCTGATTTCCGTTCCACTAAAATCCATCAGAACGAAAATTTGCACGAAAATCAAAGCGAACGAAAACGTAAGCGTTTCAGTGTAATTTTGCGTTCCACTATCTTTTTTCTTTCGTACGCATGCGAACACAAATGTCAAAATCAGTCACTTGTGTGTTTGCTGTCGAATGATAAAAATTAAGGAAAATTGTTTTAACATAAACATTGCTTGATTGAAAATGGAAAGAAAAATGTAAGTAAAAATAATAAATGCAATTTAATCTGTGAACAACAAATATATATTTTTTTTATTTTCTCAATTCCAGCACGAATCATCAACTACACAGCTGCGGGTACTAGTTGAGTATATGGAGGAGAATCCTGAGTTCGCCAGAGGAGTGCCAATTTTTGGAAGCAACAGGCAATCCCTTGAAGACCACTGGAAGAAATTAGTTTTTAAATTAAATACCATGGGTCCTCCACAAACCTAGAAAAATTCATTTTTTATTATTTCAAAAATGTAAAAATACAATCATACTTACTGGTTGTTAGGTACTTCAAATAAATTCGAAGCATCTCTTAAATGCCTCCGTGGCACATTTCGAACCTCCTCCTCATCATCCATAAAAAATAGGGCTACAGAAATATTATTTTTTTTATTTTTTAAGAACACAAATAGTTTGAACACAATCACTAGAAATTTTATTTTGTTTGTTTATTTACAATTTGTTTGTTTACAACTGAACTGTCAGTTGAGACAGAGCCACTGCTGTTATTCGCGTTTAAATTAGACATTTGGCGCTTTTTTTGCCTTAATTCGCGATTAATTTTTCCAAAAAATATTTAGCAACACTGAATCACGTAAGGCTATGCGAAAGGAAGAACGAAAGTTAATGGAACGCATGGAACAGGCTGTTCATTTTAATTTGAACTGTTCGATAAGCGAAAAGTCAGACGCTCTTTCTTTTACCTTAAACGTAAACTTTACTTAATTCAAGTTGCTATATGTTATATTTATAAAATTGAAATAACAGCAAAATTATTGAAATAAAACAAATAAAAAAGCAACAAAGTTCAGCCGGGCCGAACATTTAATACCCTATACCATTTTGAATGAATATTTTCAAAGAAATTCCGTCGAAAAATAGCGCCTAAATGAAAACCGTTATATGTGGCTATACGAAGACGTGGATCTGCATAAGTAATTTTTGAAAAAATGACAGTCTATAATGACTATAAATTCATAAAAATGCCGAATATTGGGAACTACCGTTATATGGGGGCTCTACGAAAGCGTGGACTCACATGGCCCGTTTACGAACATAATTTGCCTACTGGCAAGATAGACATGTATGGAAAATTTTAGCCTTCTATCTCAATTCTTCCTGAAGATAGCGTAATTACACCAAACAGACAGTAAGACATCGCTAAATTGACTTTTCCCTGTTCAAGAATATAAATAAATGCGAGGCTCTTGCGCAACGTGCAAGTATTAAGGTGTAAGTACATAAACAGCTTAGAGTCGACGTCGGGATACGAGAGCCGCATTCGAATTCTGCCGCAGTGTCCCTTTATAATTTGACATTAATATGCCTAGCCATAATACCAAGCTGTTAATGTACCCTCACCTTAAATTCTAAAACAACTGCCAAATCCAGGAGAAGACTAAAATGTCACCAACGTTTACAAAAGATTAGCCAACTGAGATCATGTAGCAGTTGTCAAAAGTACTAAGATGGCCTGTACGACGTGGGCATCAAACAGTTGAAAAACACTCATAAATCTGGCAACTCTGTTTCGATTGTAGAAGAAAACAGGTAGATGCATCAACGCTTGGTAACATTAATATGTCAAAATTTTTAAAATGTTTTTTTCAAAATAGATTTTTATGAAATTTCTTTTACAACGCTAATCTATTGTTATTGTGATATGCATTTTTCAACAATTTTACAAATGGATGAGATGAAAAATTATTTCATCTAAAATTTTCATTTTAAAATTGGATTGACAGTTCATTCTCCAGCAGCTGTGTCGATGCGACTACCTGTATTCTTCTACAATGTGTGGTAGTAAATTACAACTTCGATACAGGACAATTTAGCTCTGTTTCAGAATCTGCAAGAATTTACTACCAATTTTGTTCGATATCATAAAGGGAAAATAGGTTATCGTATTAAAAACCAGCGAACGAAAACAAACGAAACGAATAACGTACTGCTCACACAAAGTCACAAACTTTAAAATAATTTTCAATCGTTTTGTACTTCAAACAAAACAATACCACAAACATTTCAAGTCCAAAAATACATAAACGTTACGATTGCCGGCTGTAGTTTACCGAGGTGTATCGTTTGCGAACGAATCTTTTCCAAACGTTTGATGTGCGAAATGATGAATGCTACATTTAGAGTCTTCATTCTAAATATTTTTTACGCTGTTCCCATTGTATGATTGACGTAATAAATAAATATAAAGGCATGAACTTAAATCAGTATTAATTTTGGCTTTTTTGTAATGAGTTAATATACAGGGAAACGTTTGCAATAAATTTTGTACTGTTTGGTTTCCAATGTTGCGTCATCCAGCAGAGTACATTTCAGTTTTGTTTTTGTTTCCACTCATCTAAGCAAACAGTACAAAATACAAAGCAAGTCCCATTATCTTAACATCGGTTTTGTTTCGTTTCGTATTTCAAGAAAATACGGAACAAAATGATTGCAAACGTTTGGTAAAGTTTATTTTCGCTCGCTGGTACAAACCTTAAAATACTTGCAGTTTTGATACAGACCATTTGTCTTGTCTAAACGCCAGGTAAACCGTGCATAATATTCTAGTCGTTCGTTGATCTTTGGTAAAACAAACAAATGTCATAGTGTGAGCTCACTTTGCTATGTTTATACTGTTATTAACGCCGATGGTATAAAGGAGACGGGCTTTGTTGTTTTGTTTCTCTCACTTCAACTCCTCGCAAAATCCTCTCTTTCAATCTCTCAAAAACAGATATTCCAAAAATTCTCACCAAGACTTTTTCTAGACAATTTATTTTAATGTAAACATCCAACGGGGAGAGAACGTGGAAAAGAGTTCGTGGAAATTCGAGGCCTATGCAAAAAACCCGCGTTTAAAAGAAAATTAAAATAAAAACGAAGATATATATTACCGAATATTAACAAAGGAAAACAAATTTTGTTTTGCTGCAAATGTGTTTTTAAAAGAAAATTGAGAAAAAGAAAATTAAGAAATAAATACAGAAAAAAATTGTAACAAAAGGTGATAACAAAATAAAAAAAAGAGAAAATTAAATATCCACAAGACAAGAGCAACGAGTAAAAAAGGAAATCGTATTGCGATAAGCGGATGATGGTGTTAAATAAATAATTGCAAAATTCTTTTAATAACAAGGAAAAAATACGCAAACACCCAACGTTCTGTGTTTGTGATAGTGGACATGACGAAAAAACGAAGGGAAACACCCCTCTTTCTGTTTATACCGGTGATTGGAAAATCGTAGACCCCCCTTACTTGGATCATTGCACCCCCTGCATAGGAATGAAAAGCGTCCATTTTCCTCTTCCTTTGAGGGGGTTTCGACTATTATCCCAATACATATATACATTCATGTTACATACTGACAACTCTTCTGGATACATAAGCCGATAAAACGTGCATTGCATTTTACGAAGTATTTAGACTGTAAAACAAAAGCGCACATATGGCATAAACATGATTCAGCCAGCCCTCACTGCTTGCTTCCCCATCGAAAATATCACAAAACTCCATAAAAGTCATTCAAATGGGCTTTTTTCATTTATAATTATTCTTTGGTTCTGACAATGTTGTTGTTGGTGTTAAAGCCATGGCGGCTCGGCTAACGATAAGCATTTTGTGTTTTTTGCACAAATATATGAGATAACAATGAATAAACATGACAAAGCACACAGTGCTGTAACAACAACAACAAAAGCACACATTACAATAGATACCTGAAAAAAAAAAACAAAAACACTGTTCAGAATAGGTACATATGGTCTATCGAAATTTTAATGTTAAAAAAACCAAGAATTTAGTTTCCATTTTTTCCCTTTTTGTGGTATGAAATGAAAAATATATGTACAACTGTTTATCACTAAACAAGATTTGTTTATATTTTCGGTTGCCGCTGCAATATCCAGCAGTCATCATCTTTAAGACAATGTGTACACATTCGTACATACACTGTTACTCACTCTCGCACACCCCCCACAAAGAAACTTATCAACCTGATGTATATATGTATGTATGTGAACATCGGACCCAAGAGAACATTTAAACGTCTTTTGTATTATTCTTTGTTGTTCTTTCACCAGATACTTTTTGGGTCCTTGAGGTCAACATCTGTATTTGTTTTTGTTCACAGTTGCATGTTATGTTTTTCCTCTACCACCACCGCCCATGTTGTATTTATGTTTGTTTTTCTTATCTGTCCTCGATGCTTGCTTTTATCCTTTGCAACAATACTCTGGTGTTGCTGTGGCGAAGAGATTGAGTGAGTGCTGTGTTTGTTCCATTTTTTTTTGCATAATTGTCATTTATCGATAATTCGATTAGGCTTGTGAGTATGATGTCTAGACATTCATCCTCTCAATTTGCATCTTTGTCACCTTGCTATGTTTGAAAAAAAACGCATTGTTGCTGTTCCTCGACACCAAGCCATGCATAATTGGTTTAATGGGGCAACTACTTTTTATTGTTGTTGCAACTGACAGTACTCTGCTTATAGACTGAGTATGGCTAAAAAAACAAGTCTGTTTGCTCATTTTATAGTATGTTTTATTAACCATTTAAAACAAATTAAAATAAAGGGCCAACTCTAGCTTCAAGGTTAATTATTTTTACCCCGATTTCGGGAAAAGTATTTTCCATGGAGGACGTACTCGGATGTCCTTGTTTAACCGATATAAGGCCTGTCTGGTTACATATCCTGCAGGAATTGTCCAGCAATTTTTTTTGGCAAAGTAATAGTTTTATTCTCTTTTGTAAGAAAGCTGTGAAAAACAAACAGATGAAATACAAGCAAAAATTTGCAGCAAGCAAGTACATACTTTGTATATTTTATTAAAAATGGAAAATGAGGCCAAAAAAGTAGAAATTTTCAAATTTGTTTTCCCAACACAATTATAATACGATTTACAAAAATGTTTTCATATTGATTGCACAACAGCAAATTACCGGTTACTCAAGCAAGTTATTGCAGAAAGAAATTTGTTCAACAAGAATTTGCGAACTCTTATTGAAAGAACCCTCAACATTTCCTTGAATCGCTCTCTTTAGCAGAATTGTGTCAAAATAGATGACCCAGTAAATATTTGCAACAATTGTTAAAAATGTTAGGCAAATCAGACAGACCTATATGCAATATAGGTATCATTTGAAAGCTTATGAAAATATCTACCTATCCAACTAGTGGTCAGTCATATATTAACAGGTTTAGGTGTTATAGCAAAATAAGCTTTTTTTGAGCCCAGATGTTTTATAAACCCCCCTAAATGCGAAAGTCCATTATGCGCCATACTCGTAGTATATAGGGTATATAAAGTTCGTCAGTTCCTTTAAAACACCTCGAAGCATCCATTTTAGATCCTATAAATAATATCAGCGTAAAATTCTTTGTCGAGTTTGCCATGTATTTGCATTTCTCTCTCTGTCCGTCTGTGGAAATGAATTAGATTCTGAGCGAAATAATGTGGATTGATAGAATTTTACTCAGAAGTTTTTAGGCCCGTAGAATTTTTGGTAATGAAAATAGACCATATAGGTCTACCTTTTGGTATAGCTCCCACACCATACGGATATAAAGTGTCACATCATCGTACACCCCCATATAATTGGGCTTCCCCATATTGGGTACTTTCATGCTTTTTGCTACATTTTTGTGTGGAATTATTCCAAATTTGGAGTTCGTATTGGGTACAACCTTCTGTGACAGAAAATCGGTCATACAGGTTGACGTCTTTGATTAGCCCCCATATAACGCTCAGAGGATTGACTTTTGACTTGATTGACTTTGTTTCGGGGAACTCTGCTGGTAAAAAAAAAAAATAAATTTTCCACACAAAAAGTGTAAAAAATGTCTGAATAATAACCATATCGAGAGGGAGGTCCGGATTCCCGGTGAGCCTCTGAACGGTAGCTCCCTCCCTATATTTGGATTATACTCATTTTAGCTACATTGTTCAACGGAATTATTTTTACGTTGGTTTTTACGTCCACCAAAACGTCTCTTTGGACCAAATACGTTTCAGAACATTTGGAGTCGATCTAGTGATAACTTCGAAGGAAGCATCCGATTTGGTCCAAACTTGGTACATTGAAATATTATTATCAAAACCTAGATCGAGTTTGGAGATATGCAATATCGGTCCTCTCGTTCCGGTACATCCTCCACTATATGTCAAAATTTAAAAAAAAATATATATTTTATTGCTCAGAAACTCGATCTCCAACTTTGCAAATCCTAATATTTGCATCAGTGCTAGCTCAGGTGAGAAAATGGACAATGTCGGTCCACTCCATCAAGAACCTTCCCCACAAAGGGTCGAAATGTTGAATAATTATAACTCTTTTAAAATGTGACGTAAGAGTCCGATTGTCCGAGTTAAGGTTTTGAATATATCGGTCCACTCTTCTGGTACCTCCCCCAAAAAGGGTCAATATTGTGAATAAACCTGAAGCTCATTAAACGCGAAATTAACATCCGATTCCATTCAGACTTGGCACATCTCAATATTTTTATCAACACAAAGTCTGATATAAAGATCGTAGAGATCGGGCCATTTTTTCTGGTACCTCCCCCACATATGGTTCAAGATTTGAAAAACAAAACGCTCAAAGAAAGCAAAATAATCATTCAACTCTCTTAAAATTTCACACATACAAACATTTTTGTTAACACAGGACCTGTTGCTAAGATGATATAAATCTGCGAACCTCTTCTGGTACATCACCCTCAAAGGGTAACAATTTTCGATATTTTTATCTGTCATAACTTGCGAAACAATTCTGCGATTCCTTACAACCCCAGACACCAACGATGAATATGGAATCTTCGATTTCGAATAAAATTTGATATAAATGTTCGATGTTTTGTAATTTTGTCCATACCAATATTTTTTTCTGTATTACTTGAAGTGTGGAAATGGAATACTGTCGTCGAGTGTATCTGGTACCTCACCCACATTTCCATATTATCTAAAAATTATCATAACAGAATTAAAAATATATTTAAATAATCAAACATTGGCTGAGGGTATACATCTGTCGGTTACATTGACTGATACTTTTTTCTTGTTTATTTGAAACTTTCCTCCCAATATTTTTGTGTAAAAGAAAATAGCGAAAAATAAACTAAACGTTGTGGATTTTTCACAATATCGAGTTCCTAATACAATTACAAGACTACCAAAAGAAAATATTTTATTCAGGTGATTGCTATGCCCTATCTTGTCTTCATTGTACCGTGATTAACCATGCCATATGAGCGAAAAATTTTCTAAACCAATTGAATTTGTAGTAATCAAACCCACAAAGTATTACACAATATAACGTGTCCTAAATGTGTGATTTTAAATATTTATGTCAATTGAACGATTGGCCCTTTTAGAATGGAATACAACTATTATGGCTCTCACCCTATTTAAGTAGCCAAGTACCATTTAGCAAATTGCAAAAATCTTTAAAATCATTTAAATATTTAAAGTAATTTTATCAATTTAATTTAGCACCATCAAACGCCCGTCCAACCTCCACGCTCAATACGTACAATCGATAACCACTCATACCTACTACATACCATTTGTATGAAATTCTAATTAAATATTCATTTTATGTCTTTAGGATTATTTTTTTATTTTCGGATAAATTTATTTGTCGACAAAAGTGCTTCAATCAAACAAGGAAACGAAACGTTAAACCCTGTGTGCGCAGACACCGAGAGATATAAAATTGAATAAGTTCGAAACGTATTGCTCGCGTACAACAACAACAACAATATTTAAAAAAAGAAGAAAATTATTGCTCAAGAGGTAAAAAGAGCACTTTTTTCGTTGGAATAACAACAACAACACGATATTTGGTGCTTAATTTTTGTGTTTAAACATTTTTTTATTTTGGAAATTACCACTACCACAACAAAGAATTTATTTCGTTAACAATATAAATTGTCAGTACCAAACCAAAACCATAACCGACAAAAAGGAAAACCAAAACAAAAAATTTAATTTTTTTCCTTTCAAAAATGGGCAAATTATTGAGTTTATTGGCACGTGATGACTCAAACTGTTGCACAGCCAAATCGTATGATGTCTTCTTGGATTTTGAGAATGCGGCACCCACAGAAACCGAACGTGAGGTATACGATGAAGTGGATCGTGTGCTGAAAGAATCAGAAGCCGTGTTGGATGAGATACAAGTCTATAAGGTAAGTCTCAAAAGTGTGTGTAGGTTGGGTTCTTGCAAACATTTCGAATGACTTATAACGTCACACTGTGTTTAGTAATTGCGAACTTGAAAAGTTTTATTATTTTTCCAAGATGATAAAAGAAATTGAGTGTGTATAACAATGGATAAATTCTCAGTTACGAAGATTTATAGTTGGCCATGTTCGATTAATTAACTTCTGTATTTAAGATCAATAATTAGATGACTAATGTGATTGCCAAAGTGTTAGTCTTGAAAAGTAATTATTCAGATTGAACTAAAAATTGACAAAAAAAAATCAATGCTTTGGAACGTTTGAAGCTTCATCGCTACACTGTTGCTCCACCTTTTTTTATACCCTTCACCATACTATGGAGGGTATATTAAGTTTGTCATTCCGTTTCTAACACTTCGAAATATATATTTTAGACCCCACAAAGTGTATATATTCTGGATCAGCATAAAATTCTATGTCGATTTAGCAATGTACGTCCGTCTGTCCGTTTGTGGAAATCACTCTAGCTTCCGAACAAAATGAAGTAAGTTAATAAAAATTTACTCAAATGTGGACTTTTGGTATTGAAAATGGGACATGTAGGTTCACGTCTTCCTATAACGGTACCTCCCGATATGCGGTATTTTGATGATTTTAGCGACATTATTTACCGGAATTGTTTCAAAATTGATATTTGAAGTTCGTAATAGATACTACAGCCTAAGACAGAAAATGGACCCTGTAGATCCACGTCTTCGTATAGCCCCCATAAAACGGTACCTTCCGATATTCGGTAATTTGATTATTTTAGCGACATTATTTACCGATATTGTTTCAAATTTTGTATTTGAAGTTCGTAATAGATTCTACAGCATAAGACAGATAATGGGCTATGTAGGTCCACGTCTTCGTATAGCCCCCATATAACGGTAGCCCCCGATATTCGGTATTTTGATGATTTTAGCGACATTATTTTACGGAATTGTTTCGAATTCCGCATTTGAAGTTCGTAATGGATACTACAGCCTATGACAGAAAATTGTCCGAGCAGGTCCAAGTCTTCGTATAGCCCCTATATAACGGTACCCCCGATATTCGGTATTTTAATGATTTTAGCGACATAATTTACTGGAATTATTTCAAATTTTGTATTTGAAGTTCGTAATGGATACTACAGCCTATGCCAGACAATTGTCTGTGTAGATCCAAGTTTTATAACACCCATGGTAACTTCCTATATTCGGTATTTTGAAGATTTTAGCTACATTATAAACAAGTTTCGCATTTTTTTCAAGTTTCGCATTTGAATATTGTAACAGTTTATGACAAAAGTTGCCTATGCAGGTCCACGTCGTCGTATAGACCCTAATATTGGGCTACATTCACAATTACATATAAAATTTTAACAGGATTTTTAACGGATTTTATTTTTTTGAAAATTGCCAAATTTGTACAAAATGGTGGAGGGTATACAAAGTTCGGCCCGGCCGAACTTAGAGCTTTTTTACTTGTTTTCTGTTTCATATCGCTCTTATATTTTTTATTGTGACTTTTATTGGGTTCAAAATAAATATTTGGTGACTAATAATCTTCTTGTTAATAATATCATTAACCGCAAACAAAAACAAAAAACAAATAAAACAAACAAATGGAGTAGAAACACACACACAATACCAGTGCTGTTTGGGCTTTGAATATGTAATCATGATATTAGAGAATTGCGAAACTTTTGTAAGCTATACAACGTAAAATATCCAAAACAAAACGAAATAAGAAAATCAAATTTAAAAGAACCCCTTGGAAGGAAAATGGAATAGGAAAGTGAGTGAATTCAAAAGTTCGTTCACCAAATACTCTGGTTTATGGAAAGGAAATCAAACAATATATGAATGAATTAACTAGATTAAACATAGAGGCCACCATGCTTGGAAGTAAAGGGTTTAAACAGCTCTCACACGTTTTACTGTTAAGCAGCTTCAGTTTGGTCTATAATCTCACCATGAATCTTATCGTTTCGTTTTACTATCAAAATTCATGTTCTATTAAGAAAGTTAGTCGTAAGCTTCTTGTGTTCATCGACGGAGCTCATATTTGGCTCAATGGGTACGTAAATAAACAGAATTTTCGTTTTTTAAATGAAGATCAGCCAGAATCATTGCAAAAGCTACCAATGCATCCAGGGAAAGTCGCAGGAGCGCACTTCTTCAAATATGCTGGGAATTGTAAATTATGAATGGCGAGAGCTACCGATAATATCAAACTTTTTTTTTTTTGTTGTCAAAATACAAGAGCTTTACTTGCAATACATGTGACTTTGACAAGACGGTGCCAAATTCCACATAGCTTGCGTTACATTGGGCTTATTGAGAGACGAGTTCGGCGAATATTTTATTTGACGTTCGTGACCGGTTAATTGGCCCGCCTAGATCATACCCTTGAAAAGGAGGGTATATTAACTTTGTCATTTCGTTTGTAACATCCATAAATATTCGTAGTAGACCCCATTAAGTATATATACATATGATCGGCATAAAATTCTAAGGCGATTTAACGATGCCCGTCTGTCTTTCTTTTGAAATTAACATACAGCCCACATTATTTGACATAGAGCAGAACAATTTTGTAATTTGTATTGTATCTAGGATGTTTGGTATTCAAAATGAGATATCTCTTATATTATATTATATTATATTATATTATATATATTTTGATGATTCTCGGGACATTTTTAACGGATTTTTCTTAAAATTGATATTTGTATTTCGTAATGGGTTCTAGCTACGATGGCGGAACATGGTATATGTAGGTCCACGTTTTGGTATAGCCTCCATTTAACGATACCCACCGATATTCGGTATTTTGATAATCGTAGGCACATTTACCCACGAAATTGTGACAAATTTGGTATTTAAGAAGATTTGGTAGATGACAATCCTTGAAGTATAAAATTGTCTATGGAGGTTCCCGTTTTGGTATAACTCCCATATAACGGTCTCATCCACTTTATGGTTTTTTGAAAGGTTTAACATAATTATTCAAACGGCCTTACTGGTATTTGTAGGTTAAAGTGTAGCCCGTTTGAATTCAGATACTTTATTATAAAACTGGGTATTAAAAGTTCGGCCCGGCCGAGCTTTATGGGTTTTTTACTTGCTATTATTGTACCTACTTTTTTAACGAGATGGTTTAAAATTATATACCAACCCCTGTGAGAGAATATTGTCCATGTAGGTCCACGTTTTGGTATGGCCCTCCATGTAATGGTATCTCCCACCTTAAGATATTCTCCACCCGTTTTCTCTGCTATTTGTGATTTTAGATTTAACTTGCTTGTATATTGAATCCAGATACTTCCTATGCAACTTATGGTTTATAAACTTTGTCTTACTATTATCATATCTTTCATTATAATTGAGTTTTTCCACACGACTACTAGGGATCAAAAAAGAAACACCGTTTAATTTATCATTCTCCAAATCCAGCAGCTGCTATCGTTCCCGAATCGCATTTGATGGTGAAATCATTATATTGCCATGAACGTCAATAAACATTTAAAAGTTATCTTTTCAATCGCATTAAACAAAGGAGTGAGTGAATGCCTTATCGGCAGATTTATTTTGATAACCATTGCATTTTTTTTGTCAAATACTAGGAATTTCCTACGACTTCTTGTGATGGAGCGTATTTTACGGATAAAAAGGAGAATTGTTTTTCTCGTATTGTAATTGAACTATTCAAAACCTATAGCTACATAATTACAAGAATTTAAAAATATCTTGTAGGAAACAATGTTGCAATTTATTTTTTATAATTTTGTTTAGTCATTTTAGGGATTTTTTGCAGATTTTAGAAAATGATTACTATGATTACTGGATTACTTGAAAGCAAAGTTGGCACTAAAAAATACCAAAGTGTCGATCACCTTAAGCAAGCGCTTCGCCTGGAATTGGCCAAAATACCGCAGAGCAACTTTCGGGCAGCGTGTGACGGTTTCATTGGCCGTTTGATGGCCATAATGGTGACCAATTCGAACAAATCGAAACTTATTCTAAAATTTGATTCTATTTCCGACATTTATTAAATAAATATATAATAAAATTTAAGAAAAGAAATTTAAAAATTATGAAATTTGACTTTGTTGCAGTTTTTTTTTATCTCATCCTACATATTTGGCGCATAGTCATAATTGTAAAAAAAATAACAACTTTCTCCACAAATTTAAATTGCCTAAGAGATATATCTCCCACGTAGGTATGAAGGAAGATTATAACTTCCCCTTGGTTCCATTAAAATTCGTTGAAATATAATTTCAACAAAATATTCCAATACGTCATCAGAATCTTATTTTCTTATTTGAAGTAGAAACAAAACTAACCGATTTTTAATACTTTTTTTACAAACTATTAACTAAACCTTTTCATTTTGAAAACACCTACTAGCCTCTCGGGAATGAATACACATTCAAGCCAACGGTTTATTTATTCGTAAATGTCATCAACTAAACTTTTTATTTTGCCTCTTCATCATGGCTCATCTAAGGCCAAAGATGTGGGAAATCAGGTTAGGGGGAAAAGAAAAAATGAATGCATTTTGATTCTCCGTTTTTTGTTTTGTTCATTTCAGTTTTAGTTGGCCCACATCCAAATGTAGTCATAAGCACACATACTAGACTAGACCGACAGTTGTTCGAAAAGAAGTAAATGGCAAAGGATTAAAAGTGGAAAATGAAAAAACCAGATCTTTCCTGACGACGACGACGTATCATAAACCGGTTGAGATGATGGTGCTTCATTAAACAACTGAGTGTGAGCGTATAGAATACTGCTAGGAAAAGTAGTAGCGTTATAATGACACAACAGGCTTTTTATAACAAGAAGTCATTTTAATGATGGCTGTTTTTCATTGAAAGAACTTTGTGAAATTGAAAATGGCAAAACTAATGTGCACCGCTTTTAAAAGTGGAAAATAAAAATAGTAATTTCAGTAACAATTATGTTTACCAACCC